AAAAAAAAAAAAAAGAAACAAAACCTACACCCCTCTCACCCCTGGCTGCAGTAATTTCTTCAGGGCAAGCCCCCAGAAGGTTCTAAGCTGGAGGGTGGATGAGGCATCTCTGCCCACCTCTATCTGACAGGCCTCGCTCCCCAGCCCCAAGGTTGGGGGTGACAAGCCTGGCCCAAGGGCTGGCTATGGTGGCTGGTCCTTCTCAGGGTCACCTCAGGACAACCCCCTAGCCAGAGACCAGGGCTGCAGAGAAGGGAGGGGCTCTTCAGGGGAAAACACAGCCACCCCCACCCCACCCCCACAGGCCACTTAGGAATTCCACCTGGAAGTCAGCCAGGCAGGGGTAGCAGAACAGCCCAGACCTATATTCAGACCTGGGTTGAAATCCTGGCTCTCCCACTAACTGTAATTTGGGGCAGGTCTCCTCGCTGAGCCATCAGTTTCCTCACCAACAAAACAGGATCCCACCACCTTGTGCCCAATCTCAAAAGATTTGGGGAGAGTTTCTCTATTTAAAAAAAAAAAATGTATTATAGGGGCGCCTGAGTGGCTCAATCGTTGGGCGTCTGTCTGCCTTCGGCTCAGGTCATGATCCGGGGTCCTGAGATCAAGCCCCGCATCGGGCTCCCTGCTCGGCGGGAAGCCTGCTTCTCCCTCCCCCACTCCCCCTGCTTGTGTTCCTTCTCTCGCTTTGTCTCTGTCAAATAAATAAAATCTTAAAAAAAATTTTTTTTATTATAGAATTTTCAAGCTTACACAAATTTAAAGAATTTAATGAATCCCTGTGTACCCATCACCCAGCTTCAACCATTATCAACTCATGGCCAACCCATGACCATACTCACACCCTCTCCCCTCACCTTGGGGCTATTTTAAAAACAAAGCTAAGACATCATTTCACCTATAAATACTTCAGAATGAATCTCTCAAAGATAAAGACTTAAACACACACACACACACACACACACACACAAATACCATTATCACCCCTTGAAAAGTTAACCATAATTCCTTAATATCATCAAATACCTCATTGGAGCTCAAAATTCCCCCACTTGCTCATAAGTGTTTTTTACAGTTGGTTTGGATTTGAATCAAAGAAGGTCAACACATTATGTATGTCTGAATTTCTTGAGAGCTAGAGATTCCCCATCTTTTCTTTTCTTGTAATTTTGTTGTTGTCCAAGAAGCTGGGTTATCTGCTCTGTAGTTTCCTAGTCTAGATTTGGGTAATTGTATCTCCATGTGTCATTTCACATGTTCCTCTGTCCCCTGTGTTTCTGACAAACTAGCAGCTAGATCCAAGGGATGAGACTGAGGTTTTATTTCTTGGCAAAAATAATGCCTAGCTGGGAGTTCACGTGTCAGAAGAGGTCTACCTCTTTGTGACTTAAAGATCAAATGGCAGGTTCAGGTGTTGCCAATTTGATAGTTATTATAAAGCTCTCCTGTCACCTAAGAGCAAAAGCTGTAAAATTCTTGACAAAACTCTTTAGACAAAAACAGACCAGCATGGGCAGTGGGGAGAGGCCAGACCCTACAGGGTCCATCTGGGCTTGTATTTTGGGAAGATCCCTCTGGATGTTGGAGGATGCGCTGGAGAGGGAAGCCAGACTCAGAGGACTGAGTGTTGTGGGGTCCCATTTATATGGCCTTCCGGAGGGAGCAAACTATAAGGACAGAAAGCATGAGGGAGGGGCGCCTGAGTGGCTCAGTTGGTTAAGCGTCTGCCTTCAGCTCAGGTCATGATCTCAGAGTCCCGGGATTGAGCCCTGCACTGGGCTCCTGGCTCAGTGGAGAGTCTGCTGCTCCCTTTGCCCTCACCCCGCTCTTGTGCTTTCTCTCACTCTCTCAAATAAACAAATAAAATCTTAAAAAAAAGCAAGCAAGCAGGAGGGAAAGGGGTTGACAGTGGGTGTCATGCGGACTTGGGAGAGGTGCTGGGCCGTGTGTCCGGGTCGGGGTGGGAGACGCGTAACTGCGTGTTTGTCAGGACTCATCCGAGCAGTTGGCCCACAGGACTCGCAGAAGGTACATGCTGTGGGACTCAGCTCCCAGGCCTGTTACCTCCGTAGCTTTAGGCCCTGTCAGGAGATGGGCACCTGGATGACAGTCCCTTATGGCACCTGGATGACAGTCCCTTATACATGCATTCATTAAATAAGCAGCTACTGGCCAGTCTCCCTGCTGGACACTGGAGACTCTCAGATGACCAAGACCACCCTGCCCTCAAGAAACGTCCAGGCTGGAGGACTCATGGCCCTGAGCCATCTGACACATTCACCAAGGCCTGGCGCCCCCCTCTGCTGCTCCCTCGCTCTACTCCAGCTAGTCAGGTCTTACCAGCAGAACTCACAGGTGTATCAAAAAATAATCTTTATTGTCACTCGTATAAAACAGTAGATCAACTGGCCTCTCAGTCTGTACAAAGTGTGGGGCATCAGACCACCTGGGCTGCCCCCATTTCTCCCACAATGCCCTGCCGCAGGGGCCCCACGGAGGGGAGGGCCGCCCCCAGTGCCTTTTCTTGAGGAAAGAGGTGGGGGGTGGGGAATCTTTCTGCCTGAGGGGGAGGCAAAGGAGCAAAGCAGAAACTCTATCCGGAGCAGGGGTGCGCTCCGATGCTTGGCGAGCTTCTGCACCTCCGGGGCCACACTGGGAGCGGCCGTCAGAGGGCCACGCGAGTACAACAGTGACGCAGGAAGCAGGGCAGGATGCCGCGGTTCAGCTGGTGGAACTCCACGAGCTGCAGCAGGTCGGTGAAGCGAGTCTGGCCGTCGTCCATGCTGAAGTAGAGGCGGCCCTCCTCCTCGCTCTAGGGGACAGCCAGAGGGGACAGCAGGTCGGGGAGAGGCGCCGGGGCGCAGGTCCCCGCTGCTCGCGCGGGGAGAAGAGACCCCAGACACACCGGGGGCAGGGGGAGGGCCTGGGGAGCTGCTCGAGGGGGCTTGAGGAGGAGGACAGGGATGAATGACTCACCGGGAGGATAAGATAATGTTTGACCTTCTGCAGGTGGCACAAGGAGAGGACAAAGCCCTGTGGGTTGCGCTGACTCTCTCGGACCAGGAACAGGCTGCCAGGAGACAGGGCCACGTTACCCAAGGACCCAGAGCTGTTGCCCTGACACAGGGTCTCTCCTAGCCCCGGCTCTGTTGGCCTGCTCAGCCCTGCCCCTTACCCGTCTACCAGGCCCTGCTGCCCGATGAGCCGCTGGCTCTCCTCTCGGGAAATGCGTCCGTGGAACCAGGGTTGGGTGCGGTGGATGGCTGGAGTTGGGAGAGGCAGAAGGGCAGTCATTCTGGGGAGGAGACCCGCCCCCCATACTAGCCACCCCCACCAGGAATGCTCAGAGAAGCCACGGCAGCCCCCACCCCTGGGGACGCTGGGTGCTCACCCACCTGCACTGAGGCTCGTACCCGAGCCTGGGGTGGGCAGGCTGAGACGGTGGTTCTTCTGTAGGGCAGCGGGGGACACAGAGGATCAGGGAGTGACTGGGGTATTACCCCACACCTCGAGAATATAGAGCCCCTTTCCGCACCTGGAGCCCTCCCTTACCCCTCTCTTCCTCCCATACTACGGAAACCCACACGGAGAGGGGCGCCTGGGTGGCTCAGTCCGTTTGTGTCTGACTCTTGATTTTGGTTCAGGTCATGATCTCAGGGTGGTGAGATCGAGCCCCGCGTTGGGATCCACGCTAAGTATAAAGCCTGCTTAAGAGTCTTTCTCTCGGGGCGCCTGGGTGGCTCAGTTGGTTAAGCAACTGCCTTCGGCTCAGGTCATGATCCTGGAGTCCCGGGATCGAGTCCC